GTCGGCCCCTGCCATCACAGTTTTTAAGGATAAGTCACCTAAACAAAATTTGCTGAACCATCGGTGACACTTACGTGTTTCACTTCTTGTTTTCAAACAGCATTACATGCCGATTGTATGACTCGTCGTGTGCCATCACTATGTGGAATTAGAGTATACTAACCTTTACACATTATATAGGCTACACTAACGTGACGTTTATGCGGTTCATGTAACTATTATACGTGATGTACGTTTTTTGGGGGGTGGTTAATGAAAGTGTTCCAAAACGCGACATTAACTTCTTGACGACCTAATACATACATTAAAGAGTGAAAAGTGTCCAAGGACAACTTTTCCAGCATGTCCAGTGTAGTTCAAGTGTCATGAAAGACATCCTTACTGAAGATAGTGTAATTTCAAAATTATCTTTTGTTCTTTGTTCAAATAATAAGCATGTGTTAAATTAATGTGTTTGTTGTCAAGTATAAAGCTACAAAATGGGGTATCTGTTCTTTGCCCACCAAGTATATCGATACCCGATTTTTAGCATTATAAGCCTTCAGACTTTAACGCTCAGCCACTGGAAGGATAAATTAACATGGTATCAACATTCTGATTGTTATTTCAATGTTATTAATTATGATATTTGCAATGCTAGAAATGCCGATATACGTAACTTTGAAATAAACGGCTATCCACATAGTATAAATGTTAGAAATGGGTATAGGAAATCTTAACTGGAGGTGGGAAGTATAAAATAAACAATCTACATAAGGAGTCTTTTTTTATGGGGTTAGGAAATCTTAACTGGGGGTGGGGGGGTATAAAATAAACAATCTACATAAAAAATATTTTTTTATGTGAAACAATCATGCTAAACCGCTAAATAAATCGGATTCTTCTTATTGCTCTATCTCAACATTAATCAAAGTGTTAGGTCTAAATGCTTGTTTCGAAAGATTGGTGCTTGGGAGGCGGTAATGAGATCAATAGAATTTAATACAGAAACACAATTAGATACTTTAACATGAACTTTGTTTTATCCATAAAAGTTACATATTCCTACTTGTGTTGTTGTTTTTTTCAAATATATCTAATGACTCAACAGTTATGATAATAATTTCAACGTAGAAACAGCATCTTCTGAATTTTGTGTTTTAATAAACCAATAAAGCTGGGATACAAAGTACGATCTTGGGAAAGTAAAACGTGTCTTAGTAAAAGAGGTATCGAAGTTTCGTTGTTTTGTTTTTTTTTTTATTGTTGTTGTTGTTGTTTTTTAGAATGTTCGCACAAATCTTTGAACTGCCAACTATTGGTCAACTGTTGTCTGACCAAATAGTGGGAGTTGACCGCAACTTTTATAGCGAACCTACCGACCCAAATTACGGAGCGCGTTTTTGCTATCTCATATTCGCAATCCGAGCATGCTAATTATTAGGCCATGCCCAGTGTTTATGATATACCATTTATCTGAGCTAACTTGTATTCACAAGTCTCATCGTTGATACACTTTTCCAACCATTGTCCATGTTACATTTATTTTACTTTACTACTATCTTCTGTTTCATTATTAAAGGTAAAAAAAAACCCTAAAAATGTATTAGTAAATTTTAGTTTTATAAGTTAAAACTAGCACATTAATTATTTGAGTTTTTTACGCTGCACAATACAAGTTCTCTACATTAAAACTAGAAAGTTAAGCCTACTTTTGTATTCATATATTTTAAACGTAAGTCTAACTTAATTGTGGAACATGTATGGACATGCAAGATCTGACAGTCACATGAGTTATTAGGCATAATGTTAGACATTACGAAAGGTGCATCTGCTTTATCTAGTCATTTATGTTCATTATAATGT